GTGGAATACATACTTTAACTCAGCAGTTCTTGCAGCCTCTCTTTCTTTTTGAACTTGTAATTCTTTTCTGATCTTTTTGAAAATCTTCAAGCTTAACCAACCCAATCGTTTCTTTCTTTAATGAATCTTCTACATCGTCATACTGTGTCACGAATTTGCTGTTGGTTATATTGACTTGATTATCCTTGAAAAGTATAAATTTAATGTAAGTTGAAAAAACGTTAAGATTTCAAAAAAAAAAGAGATTTTAGACATTTTTGCATGCTGTGTAGGTATTGAGTACCACAATTTTGGACAAAGGCAAAAACAAAAAGAAGGGCAACTTACTCACTTTAGCGATCTTTTCCCGTTGTTTTTCGAACTCGCTCAACATTTTTGCTCTTTGCTTCTCCAGCATGGCTTGTCGCTGCCCCTCTGACGATGCACCTTTATACTCTGCCATGATTTGTCGGAATTGTATATAACTTGACACTAAAGCTTTTACTAGATCTATCAAAGTTTAACTTTCAAAAAGTACTTGAAGAATTAGTTGTTTCGATCGACATACAGTATTAAGGTTTTCTGACACGTGATATTTTTTACTAAATATGTGGTACTAGTAATCATCGGATTTTAACTTTTCTAGCCTGCAAAATTTTTCGCATACAACACGTTGTCATTGTCATGATCGGTTTGGAGGGTCACAAACTATAGCTTTATGTCGTCCAGAATAAATGCTTTAGGAGTTTATCAATTAATGCAATTAATTCGAGACTTAAATTTCGATTTTATTGTCGAAATTTAACGAAAGTCAAAAGTGCTTAACAAGTGTAATAGTTTTATTACCAATATTTAATTATTAGATATTTAATTATTAGGTCATTTGTAAAATAAAAATTCAACCCGAAATTATAATGTGAAAAAAAATAAACTAGTAAAAACTGTTTCGACCGGTAATAAAAATGAAAAAAAAATTAATTTTGATTCTTCTACAAGAAATAAAATTAAAGACCCAACTAATTCTACATAGATCTTATTATTTCGTTAAATTCTTTATATTTCTAAACGAACGTATTATAAGTAGTGGTGTGTGTGTATATGAAGTAGAAGTAGTAATTTCGATATCTAGTTAAATAAGCTTTATATTAGATTATCTAAAATAGATGTTTTTGAATAGTAAATACGTAATCGTTTTCGTATTTTCGTACGTATTAGCATTGAATAATAGTTATTAGCATTAATTAATGTTAAAAAAAATAATACATATTAAATAGATTTAGAGAAAAAAAATCTTACTATTAAATCTTGATGGCGTAACGGTTAGTTCGTCGGTTTCCGATGAGCAGTCCTGGGTTCGATACCGGTTGGCAAATAGGGATGTTAAACAGCTCGGTTTAGTCGGTTTTCGAGTCAGTTAGAGTCAAGTTGTTTAAAGTCGATTCCAAGTTGACTTCAATAATATCACATGAAATTTAAAATAGATAT